CCAAGCAAGGACATCAGCTTGTTAAGCCCGTCCTGCATGTCCTGGGGCAAAGAGGAAATTGTTTCATCCTCACATTGGATCAGTCTTAACGACTCAGGTGTAGATTGACTGCAAGTGCAGCGGGGCTTCCGTAGCTTTGCGCTTTTAGGATGCGTAAGTTAGGTCACCGACCTTTCGTTCTATACCTAGAACAAGTACCAGTTTAGCGGATCGCAATCCGCATACTCCAAGAGTAATTATTGCCTTAATCCAAGGCTAATTAACTCTTTCGTTTAAATCAAAAACTGACTTTTTTATTTTTATCTGCGGCAAAGCCTCCTAATTTTAGATGCATACATTTTCCTAAATATATATAGTAAAATCTAAATACATGCATTACTACTGGCTACCTAGCCACATACCGTATTCTTGTTTGGGTGCAGTCACACCATGCCCATCTCGTGTGACACACACACATATACCAGGGTACGCGTAACCCCGTTACACTTAATGTGAGAAGCCCATGTGGCGGTGAGCGGAACGTTGTGACTGTTCAAGAAGCTCTGGGATACATCGACTGATAGGGAACGCGAGCCCTGAAGCCTTTGAAGAAGGTGAGCGTTGTGCGCTGAGATTCGGGTGGGGTTTACATATCTGTTTGGTACTTACTTTGCAATAGAAGGATTGTCAATTTGTTTTATGATGCAACAAAAAGGATGCTAGCATAACAAGGTCAAAGTCACGGATGAAAACTGTAAAAGTTTGTTTGATGAGGACGCATGGAAAGCTTAGCAAGGATGTCGATGCTATTTTTCGATTGGAGTCCTTTAGAAGTGAATGCATGACTACGTTTACTGATCATTTGATTAATCACTGTCAAGAAACCTGGTCAAAACCAACGATGCAGCGACCAGCACACTTAGACCCTAGTTTGTGTCGTACGAACGGGAGACAACTAGCAAGCTTCAGGTTTTACGTTGGCAAATACAAGAATCAATTTATGGGAATCCATTATTGTTCAGCATAAAAGATGTGTAGTGACAAATGAAATTACTATTTTATAATGCTGTGGCTGATTTGGATGAATTAAAAACAAGGAGTCGAGAATTCGCTGCGCATTGCGGCGAGGCCGAGGATCCAAAGGTTACAAGGAAGCTATGCAACTACTTATACCGTTTAAATATATGCATTGTCACCATGGACAGATTGGTGTATCCTGATTGAGCTAGAAGCAAACCGATGTGGTAGTCGCGAGCTCGATTTGGGGGTCAAGAAGTCCATGATCATGTGGGTGTAGTATCCTTGCGCGATTTTGCAAATCGTATATGAGTAAATCTTGGCAGGTGCTAAGCATGTGCGTTTCAAGTTTAAATGCATGGTCAAGTGCATCAAGTCACACTTATTCAGGTTACGCTGATCAACTAGTTAGTCATAATACTGCCAGGAATGAAATTCAAAATTAAAAAAATATTGTGCATTGCAGCGTGATACGTCAAATACATGCATGCGACAAATGTCAGTACAAGATGGTAGTATGCAGTTGAGATATGATCAATCACATTTGCGAAGGCCTCCACTTTGCTATAATTTTGCGTTATAGCAGACATACGATACAATTTCGAGATAGATTTCAAAGCTCAATATCTGCCTAATAAAGTTAATCAAAGTCACACTTAACCCGTGAACATAACATTATTCCCTGTCTGCCACAATGGGCTGGAGTACAACACCCCATCGCGCGTCCGTCGAAGCGCGCACAGCAGCATCATAGCTTTTGCTTCGAAGACGTCTCTGACTAAAGTGCGGTGCATATACAGCAGGTTTACGCTTGGGTTTAGGAGTCATAGCTCTTCTTGTTTTGCCCACACGATTTGCCAGATTATTTCCTGAACGTAAATTCGGCGCACTTACAACACCCAGTCCTTCCTCAAGTGAGCGCTTAACAAAGGCCAACTCGTTTGCAATCATTGCTGGCATATGCTTGTGCAAACGTAAAAGGTCGTTTGCTAGATTTGTCGTCATTGGTAATCCATGTCGGTGGCAAAAGAGTGCGATTCTTGCAAGCTCATCCGGTTTGATGACACCACACCCAATCAGATCTTTATCTTTTCGAATCCGACGAAACACTTTACGGTTGTTGTCCCGCACTTGCTCAATAGCCGATGCAACCTGCTTTGCTAGCTCGTCTGCAACTTCCTTATCGAATCCATTTTCCCGCACATCGTTCAAAATAATTTGACCTGTACTTTTAGCAGCGGTTGAGTTCGCGGGCTCCAATCTTTCAAGACGTAAGCAGCTTTGAAGTGTTAGTAAGTAAGCATTGCCACTCGGTTGGGTGAAGCCGCGAGTACGTAGCTTTTCAAACAACTGTAGACTAGCCACCGCTCCAGCAATTTCATCACGAGACTCGGCACAGTACTCCATTGCCACTTCATAATGCGCAACATTAAGTGGAAAAGTCAATAGTTCTTTTTCGAAAAGTGCACGCATAGCATTAAAGAGGCCAAATTCACCATAAATAAACAACAGCATCTCAATTACGTGTTGCTGAAAGTACGGCTGCGTCTGTTTTAACGACAATCCATGTTTGTCATCCATATACATTTGCAAAAGTTGCTCAGCTTCCACTAGTTTTCCCTCTTCGATCAATGCGTTTGTTACACGGATCACACGGTTGGAATGGATTTGATTCAGTCCATTGAGACGAGCATGTTTAAGCACAAGTGTCGCGGCAAGAATCGAGTTACCAGATTGACATAATCGGTGAAATACCGTATCAAATACGTCAATCGACGCACTAGCATCATATAACTCGACAGCCTTTGCGTTTCGATTTGCTTTCAAGAGCGCGTTCAACGCCATTTCTACTGTACAACCAGGCAGATTCTTCACGGCATCAAGAAGAGCATCGTCCTCGTGAGTCAGTGCAAGCGAGAACAGTAGCGACTTGGCCACATTTGATTCGACCATCATTATCTCACCATTCTCATCACGATTCGACATGAGATCATCGCGTATCGAAAGCACTTGGTCCGTAAGACGCAGGCGTGAGAATGCGACAATTGCTGCATTTTGCGCGTACGAATTTGGCTTTAGACCAAGAGCACGCATTGACTGAAAAAGTGCTCCAACATCGTCATGATCGCCTATTGTGGCCTTAATTGAAATTGCTAAGGATAAAGCTTCGCCATCCAAGTTTTTTCCATGCACTTCAAGCATTTGTCTGCAGATTTGCTCCGCCTTATTCAAGCGCATTTCATCATCAAAATTATCACCTCTCATCCTTTCATGCTGGAGCAAGGCAAGAATCACGTCCTTATACAGACTAAGTGGGATCGTTATGGGCTTCATTCTTGATTTCAACGGTTGCATTGCATCTCTTCCAGCTTTTACTTGGCGTATGTGGTTTAAATAATATTGCACCGACGAATGACTAGCTGCTGCATCAAAGAGCTTGATCACCAAGTCCATACGATCCGCATTTTTGCATATTTCGGTTGCGTCCACAACAGTATCGATACCGCGTTGTTCGACGCGACGGAATGATAGAGTTTCGATGGCTAGTGTGTACGCAATTTGCCATTCCTTGCTCTGTTTTTTACGCATTTCTTGAAGCAGATCAACTTTACGACGGATCAGAGGATGGAGATCATGGCGATGGCAATACATGAGCCACTCTCGACCTAAATTCCACTTTTCAGCTTCTAAAAGCTTTGAAACAGTGTCTCCAGCGCATACCTCGGCATTTTTTAGGACATCAAGATTTATCATCTGTAATAACTTACGCATTAAGTTCCAATTTTCAAAACGAATGCATGCATCCGTTGTTGCACGCACGATCGAGTCTGTGATCGGAAGTTGACGCGACAGCATTGTGTTTAAGTATGCTTCAATATTTGCCGTTTGATCATCTCGTGCCTTGCACAAACCGCTTATTATACCATTAAACAAAAGGACGTCGTTTTTACTCTCAACATCGGTATCGTGGCCTTCAAAGTCCACAAATGCTTCCAGCTCGTCGTTATTCTTATATCTCAATTCCTCGTGATGACTTACGTCTGCCATCCCGCACCACTTTCGCTCCGCATGGTCAATAAGTTCTTTAAGCATTGCCATCTCTCCAGTACTCGCAAAAACACCAGCAAGACTCGCATAAGCCGGTGGCAAGACGACTGGTACATTTGTTAACATCAAATGCCAAGCGCGTTTTGCGTCATTTGTAATCAGCGTCGGATCACGCACCTTGTCTCGCGAAAGGGCATTGAACAGCGCCAAATATATGCCAGTATGACGAGATAGTCGACGCGATCCCTTGCAACTATCGACGTACTCATCGAATAAATCAACTGCTTTTTGGGCATTACCAAGTCGCCCATGCGCACGAATAACAACTGCATAAGTTCCTTGATGGATTTGTCCTGGCTCAAATAAATTTCGAAGATGATCGAAGACGCTTACTGCGAGTTGCGTGTCTTTGACATGATTAAGTCCCTGCATCAGCTTGTTGTACTTAATTGGGTTCGGATTCGGCTCATTCGTTTCGACAATTTTCTTCCAACAAGCCCAAGCATGTTGGCTACGATTAGCTCCTATGTACGCCAGCATTGCGCGACATAGACAGAAAATACTAGGTTGATTTTCGCCACTTTGAAGCATTTGTTCAAACAATCGCGTGGCTTGCCAGTGTTTCCCGCTTGAGACGAGCGAGTCGATTGTGCTCGTATAAATGGTTTCATTTAGACATAATCGACGTAGTGATGCAGTGGTAAAGCTCTGCAGCGCTTCTTCTAGTTGCCCATTTATCACTTGGGCACGTATTAACTGGCTCAAAACCTGTCCATTGTCTTGTAGATCATGTATTTTCTCCATCTGCACAAACAGAGCCATGGCCGTATCAGGTCGTCGTGCCATACCGGCAGCTCGTATAGCAGCAGCGTAGTAATCCTCAGTAAGCTTCATGCCAGCTTTCCGTAACTGCTTCATAATCAAAAAGGCACTATTAGCGTCCTTGGCCTGTCCGCAAGCTTCCATGATGGCGTAAAGAGCTGCAGGCGATGGCTCCACTCCCATGGCTGAAACCTCATTGCCTAACTGCACAATATGCCCCCAATGTTCTTTTGCTAAATAAGCTTGAACTATAAAATCTATCGTCGCACTCGTGGGAGTGAGGTTGTCGACCAACATGTTGTTAAGCAAACCGGGCAAAACCTCAACTTTGCCCATACGTGCACATGCGGCGATTGTGCGCTCGTACATAATAGAGTTAAGCGCTGGAAGTGCTTCATCCTTGTCTACACGGTCCAGTAATTTAATCGCTTGGCGCCACTTGCCAGTCTCACGGTACATGTCCAGTTCAGCCAACAGCTTCTTCATGTTTTCTGTCGTTTCGATTGGCATTCCGCTCATACTCTCGGAAGACATGGAGCAATTGTGTAGAATTGTATAATTGGACAAAGTAGCTGTACGTGCAAGACGAATGTCTAGACACTGCAGCCTCATGTCTGCGGTGGGCCGCGATCGTTGATAAAGCTTCACAAGGCGACGAGCGCGTAACATTTCATGCACGTGTTTGATTCAGTCTACAACGATATGTAAACGTGTAAATTATAGCACCAGCTCCAATCACACGACAGCGTGAAGTAGAAGCTGTAGCAACGTTCACAGGCAGCACAAAGCTGATCGTGTGTCAAATTGGTGGTCAAGACTTTGAGTACCGTAATACTGGTACTTCATGTAGCCATATGAGCTTTGTATGTATATTGTTGTAAATTCGAAAGCCTTTTGGATCAAATCAATGCTCAGCTTTTCCACGCAGTGATACCGTCCGAACATCTTTATATCTTAATTTCGAGTCGACGGTGCAGAATGAGAGTCGAGAAGCAGGGACAAAAACACCAGAAACTTCCATTTGTATTAAAGTAGCTTGGAGACCTCAATAGCATTTCGTGTGCCATGGAAGGAAGGGTGAGGATCACACATGATGGTGTGACCACACGTAAGCAACAAGTCGGTATGTGGCTGGACAGCCAGTAATTATACATTTTACTTGGCTTTACCAAATAGATAGGAAAACCTATAGATTTAGATGTTGGCGGCTTTGTCGCAAATCTAACCAAGAAATACAGTTTACATTTTATGCAGAAGATTTCGGGTTCAGGTTGTAATTACTCTTGGAGTAAGTGGATTGCGATCCGCTATATTCTAAGTATACAACGAAGGTCACCGACCTTAATCCAGCTTCCTCTAAGCGAAAGAGATACGGCAGTCCCGCTGCATTTGGTAGCACTTAAAGTCAATCTACACCTGAGTCGTTACGACTGACCCTCTGTGAGGATGAAGCAGCTCTCTTATTTGCCCCAGGGCATTCGGGACGGGCTTAAAAGATGATGTATCTGCTTGGCCCTGACGGCGTGCAACACCTCTCTTCGCAAGGACCTGAGGCGACCAGCGCGCGTCTAGAGGCATTTTCAAGCTATGAAAATGCTCTGCTAGAGCAACTAA